TGGGGAAACCCAAGCGAAACAAAACAGGGTCACTTATTTCCGAGGGACGGTTCAGGAAAGCAGGGACATGCTGGTTCATTTCAAAACTCAACTTCCTTGGTGAGCTATTTAATGGCAAGATATCAACTGATGGCCAAAATGGAACAGCAGGAAAGACGCTGGGAAAATCGGGCTAATTCTTATCCTGTCAGCGCTAAAGCCTTAAACCTCTCGTGCGCGGAAACTCGACTGCATTGGCTGCTTGTCCGAGATTGATGCTGGAGCTAACGTTTGGAAGACTCGCTAAAACGCACCCAACAAAGCCCTTGCTGCACGTCACGCCTCGCAGTAACGGGAGGTGTGGATGAAAGTCACGAATATTTAGAATTGTCCCCCCATCCCACCCCCATTCTTCGGCCGCTCCTCATGGTTCCTACCTTTCTACCTCTAATCGCGAGAAACCTAAGTAGTGGAAGATGGGTATCGCTTGGGGTCCGTTATTATTATTAAGGAGGTGTACGGTGAGGTGTGTTCACACGGGAAGCTTTTGTGTAAGGACGTCCAATTTATGATTTTTTAAAAATGAAGACAGAACTATATTCATCTTTTTTAAATGAAAAAAAAAATCAGTTATTTAGCCTAAAATCACATGGTTGTCATTCTGCATATTTTCGTTCAAGGATTTTAGCATTGTGCGAAAAGAGAGAGGGAAAAAAAAAAAAAAAGGCGTTTCTGTGTACCTGCGTCTCCCCTCTTCCAAAGTCACCCGCTAATAATGCCACAACATGTATGTTCAGGTGGCGAGCCGGTCGGCGCACAGCTCAGTATTTACGGGTGGGCTGGAAGACAGCCGGCGAGGGCTGCGAGGGGGAAAAACCCGAGTCTGAGGTGTTCAGGCCAGGGTCGGTGGAGGCGAGCACTGCGCGTGGGGGCTTCGAGGCACCCTGCGAGCAGGGAGGGCACCCACCCACCCACCTCACTCGTTAGTGATTTGCGTCCCGGMCCCTTCCGCGGTGCGTCCGGCTGTGCCGGCCAACAAAATCCGGCCTTTAGGAACGCTGTTGTGTTTTCCCGCCTGGAGCGGTCCTCTCGGGGCCGTCCCGCGCCCCTCGTGCCCGAGCAGGCCGCGCGGGGGGCCCCGGTAGCGGCGGCGGCGGGACGCGCCGC